CAAGTTATGTAACGTAAGTGTTCACAAAACATAATAAAAAACTTACGGGTTCATGCTCTTTTATGTAAAAGAAGTCCAGTGCATCAAACACTAAGTATCCAATCCGATTAAAATAAACAACTAGGGTATACAAATAAACAAAGAAAATATCTAACACTGATTCAGTGTTACACAAGATTACACTAGGATGAAAATGAGGTAAACAACTGTAAACTTATGTGTTTCATAGTGTCAGCAAGTAGAAAAATAAATACGTATAAAATGAAATTTGATTTCAACGTGCCAATAATTGATCTCAGAAAATAATTTGCTGTGTTTGAATGACGCATGAAACAATGTTTAAGAAGCTTCTGATTCACAAAATAATATTTATCAGGAAATATAAGGAACTTTACAAGATGCCTAAAACATTTGATTGAGAAATCTAAGTACGATTTGCAATACATAGATGAGATTAGATGATGATTGCGTTAGCTGCACGCTGAATGACTAATTCCTACCCAATCAGCGCTTGTCAATACTTGGAGAACATTCTACAAGCTTCTCATGTAGAAACTATAAAGATACTAACGTTGTTGCTGTTTCGCCTTCACTTCTGCTTCTTACTTCCATTCAACCTTTCTATTTGGACTATAATCTCTTCCCTGTTCAACCATGTTCTGATTTGGGGACTTGTCGAATGGATTGGTATCCGAGAATACTAAGCAATAGGAATAGCTGGGTACTACCAAGTGAGAATTATAACAGCATGTTACATATTGCTAAAAATATTTGGTATTTTAATATAACTTACAAAAATATGATCCGAGAACTAACTGAAGTGTGACAATAATTCTAGCAACCAGAAACCTTGTCATTGAACGATTCAGATAAAACATAAGTAAAGAACTTAAAGGCATCGCGGTTGCTTGACAAACGAAATTTATCATAGTCAAACGATAATGTAACGTATTAGATTCTTTCACCTGAAAAGCAGTGAACATGAATGCAAGATAGTATAATGATTTGGACTAAGGTAAATAAATATCTAATTAATATGAAACTGTTCTTCATTTGGTTTGCTTGTTAGCGTTTTTACACGCGGAAAATATCTCTTCAATATTTGGTTCATTTTCTATACTATTCCGCTACTAAATTTATAAAGATCTTTCATGCAATAAAGATATATAACTGGGAATTTCAGTAAAAAGTTGTCTAGACATTTTCAAACGTATAATGTCTGTCAATTACATCCAGCACTATCAACCTTTCTAAATATAACATAAGTGAATTAACTCACTCTTTGATAGAAATAAGATAGTATTTCTGATTCTGTAAAAGGCTATTACACTAACTGGTTTGTGTTAAGCAATCAAAAGTCATCCTGTAAACAGACTATAAAACGTTTCACCGACAATTAATATAAAAAGTTATTTTTCGAATTCAAATTTACTTGATATCCTGACGTTCTATAGAATGTGATATTTGGATCTTGATAAAATATTTGTAAACAGATGGAAGATCATAAAATATCTCAAGTGTGCTGACTGAGATTCCTGATCAAAATTCTTGCCTACTTTAACCGTTATAACATATGGCTTAACCAAGTATTTATTTAGTCCACTTATGTCAGTTAACATCATTTTTATACTACTATCTTCTAACAGTCTTACGTACATTATAGATAGACAGCAGAATAATGCAAATTCCGGATATTGTATAAACCAATTCGATGAAATTGCAGATACATTCAACCATTGTTGTTTGTCTTCTTTGTTTGCATTTTCTTTTCATCATCGATGACCAAAACCAATGACTTATAATTGCTTTATTTAAAAATAAAAAGTAACTGAAAAACTGTAAGGAAAATAATAATTTGAGTAAACTATAACACATTTGAATTATTACTAAACGCTGTGATAGTTTTGATTATCACAATATTTATTGTTGACCGCATTCATTTGATTTCATTTATTAAATATATAATACATTTGCTTTCAGTTTCTCTCAAATATGCTGCTCTGCACATTCCCTCAGCTTGAAATGTAATTTTAGGTTAGAAAAATAAATGCACTAATGTCGAAACCTGATACAAGATGATGCCCAAGGTTTTTAAAAATTTCGTAAACCACTACTTAGCATATTTGGTGTTTCTATTACGGTGTGCAAAATAAATCGGTTTAATCAAGTAATATTATCATCATTCGACAAACTTGAAAGGAATATTATTTAAAGTGTCTTTCAAATTCTGATGCTCCTGTTCATAAATTTACCTATCTACATTTTAAAATAAATGATAGGAAAGTATCTTGTAGATTCATCCTTTGGATTTGTTGCTAACTTAGTGTATTTTATTAAAATGACATTACGTGATAAAGTCCATTTTCTTTCCACGTTTCAAGTATCTAAACAGAGTTGGAAGTGCAGAAAGTCACCCCTTACCACTCATTGTGTAGGAAATTTAAGTGAATAGGAACATAAAACAATTCACATTAACTGCAAAATAACAACAATTTAGGTATACACTATTGGGAATTTGTAATATCATCAATATAAACATGGTTCTGTAGTTTACTCGAACAGATAATAGATGGTTTTTCTCATGCACAACAAAATACATGGTGTTATTATCATTTACTCATGTATTTATGACTTATTTATGACCTTTAAATGTATGTTATTTAAACAAACAAACAACTTGAAGAAATAAATGATTATTAATTGATCAAACTGTGTTAAGTAATCAAATTGAACTGAGAGTTATGCTATCAGAAACACGAGGTCAAATAAGTTCACATGATCATGAATGTATGATACACAATAAATTTGAATTATTCCTGTATATTTTAGTAATGATACGTGTAGTACTCAAATTCAAACATGCATTACAATGTTCGCTAAGAATGTTAGGTCATCTGTGTACTCTTAGGCTAAACGTACTTATTCACAATTCAAAATTACACTTTACATGAACTTTTGACACTGGAGTTTGCATGGGGCTTCTTGACCTCTACAACGATTTTAATAATTACTATTTGGCATTTTAGAATGTTTTTCTTCTAATAACACTTGGAAGAACTTGTAAATAGTGTCTTTTCACCATTGTAACAATGTGCAGATTATTTTAGATGTAGTGATACACTCAAAAATGGAGTATCAATTTTACCTCAACTATGCAAAGTCCGTTTAATGAAAGAATATTTGTTGAATTCATGAATAAAAATAGATTTTTTTAGTAAAATAATCTAATGACAATTTTCAAGTGTAGTGTAACTGTAATGACGGAAATAATATCAAACATGAAATCGAAAGTACTCATTTGAAAGACTGTGAAATGCTTCAAGATATACAAACCACTGTTCACTAGAGACTTACTCCAACAATTTGTGATAAGGGTATAAGAAATTATTTAATTGGATTCGTTTAGTTCACATATTGAGTCAAGTTTTTTTAAAATGACTTAGTTCAAAACATGGATATTCTATACGTAAAATATAACAATACTGGTAATAATAATGATGCACAAAATGATAGAGTTTACTTCACTTACTCATTAGTCCATACGAACCCACAAGACACGTGAACATGTGCTTTTCCGGTGGATGTATACCAAGATAACTGTATAAGTGCAAATTTATTATTTACAATGCGTTTTATTATATTACAATACACATATAATTTGAATAATTGAAACAATGAAACACCAACACTGTATTTTACATGAAAGCGGAATTGAGTAACAAAAAGTTACATTGAATCGAAAACTACAAATTATTCTTTTTTTGAAACCATGACTCGATCAATGTTAGACCACCATTAGAAACCTGGAAGCACTGTACGGCCGTTTCGTCCTGGTATGGGACTCCTCAACAGTGAGCATCTACGACTACTGCACCCCGCAGGATTCGAACCCAGGACCTTCGGTATTGTAGGCGAACGCCTTACCAGTGAAGTTCAACCTTTTCGGGTGTAGGCAGTAACTACCGAAGACTGTGTATGCTCAAGTTAGACATTAACACCGTTAGATACCTGCTGAGGAGTCTCACACCAGGACGAAACGGCCGTCCAGTGCTTCCAGGTTTCTAATGGTGAGGCACTTTACTATTCATGGGTGACGTAAAATAGTTTCTCTCTTGAAGCTAGTCTTCTTTATCCGACCTGTTTCCATTGTGCTTCACTTATTTAAAGAATCATCACGTTGTATCGTTTGATCTACGTCGCATTTTGAATAGTTCTTCTCGTCTATCAAAACTATAAACATTTCTTGAACCTATACTAGTGGTTATCTTGATTTTCGGCCTCATGACTTACAAAGAGCTCTACTGTCAGTATCATTTCCGTTGATCTCCCTGATTTGAACAACTATATATCCGTTCCACAATATAAACTTAGGTCAACCGTAACGTATCACCTCAAATCAGAAATAACAATTATAACGAACAAGCAAAAGTAGCCATGAATATAGCAGGCTATAAATAATATACTATCATCAAAATCAGGAGAGTAATAAATGATTTGTTGAGACAAACAGAGGCTTATGATAAAAGGAGTTTGCATGATGCACATATATAATATATAATACCATTTCATAAATTACTTCCAGGAGTTACCAGTACTTCAATCTTCGTTCTGATATAACAATATCGACTACAGTGGCTTATCATAGGATTCATTTGCCTCTGATATGCTCATATGAAATAGTACGACTTTTCTGATACACATTTATACCATAACTTTCACTATTCATGATCGACTTACTTAAATTCGTACCTTCAACATGAGTAAAAAACACAAGTACTGAAAATTGATCTACGTGTTTACCATATTATGTATTATACTACTTATTATATTTAAGTAGTATTACGATATTGTTATTCATTGTTATTCAACTGATACTAATCATTTTTGTTTTTACAGCTACTTTCAGTCAATGGATTTGGTTTTGGAAAGCTGGTCTTCAAATAAGAAGAAGGAGACGATCCACAATACTTCATTTTATACGTGCAGTTGTTGTTGTATTTATGACAGTAGCAGGGATTTGCATAGTTGGACTTTCTTTTATTAACGTAAGCTCATTATCCTTTTCAGTTATGAGATTTACTGTTAAGTTGATATTTCATTATTATTATTATCAGCTGAGAACGACCTGGTGTCGAAGAACAGATCACAAGAACTTAACTGAATGTGAATGTGTAAGGAGGATAGAACTGTCAAAAGACAAACGACTATATGCTATATATATAAATTATTCTTTCCCCAGTCTCACTTCCCTTGCTTTTCGTCAGAATGGATACACTGAATCAGTTAAGAATACTGCTACACCGGAGGCAAACAACAATTAATAACCCGTTATTTGGTGATGGATGAAACACATTTCATAGGACGATCATTCAATATATCTGTGACAACGTTGTATTGTTTATTTAACTATAGCACGTGTTTCTACTGGAAAACTGAGAGATTCAAATCAGATCAGTTTACCAGTGCAGAAAAATTTTTTCTCCAATAAGCATCTTTCAGTAAACCAATTTCGAATGAAAGCTAATCATCAGGAACACTAAAACCTCAGTCTCATTCAATAACGATTTGTTTGATGAGAGTTATTCGGTAGTTTCTTAAAGTATATTAATTAATCTATTTATTATTCTCATTTGAACAGACAAAAGAAAACAATGCCGAACATTATCACTTGACTCTAGTGAATTTTACTTGTCATGTTATTGCAGTTCCTCTTGGTGCAGTTGTGATTGCTTGTATTTCAAACAAGTGGATGTTTTATTGTTTCGGAAGACTATTTGTCATTATTCAAATGGTACTGGCATCTGCTTCATGTAAGTGTGTTTGAATAGACCAAAGAAATTTGTCGAGTGATTGTACATATCATTAAACCAAGGACTTCCGATAGAAAGTTGGTTATGCGAAAACTAATAAGGTTCAAATTACGAAAATTGTGGGCATATTTGGAATATGCAGTTTGTCATTATAAGACCAATAAATCTATACACTTAATTCCCAGCATATAAACACGGGATTTTCTTTGCAATAACTTGTCATCAGCTTCTTCAGTCTAGAATCAGAATTATCAATCGAATTTTCAATATTACACAATATGTATTTAGAGTTGATTGTAAAATGTTCAGGATTTGTAGATTGATTCAGATTTTAGGTCAAACAAATGTAAAGATCTGATATTAGGGAAAATACTGATAATGTACTATGAGAGAATTCATATCTTAATTAACAGAGAAACCAAATGTTCTTTTGAAGATTCCACCGTACATGAAATATAAAATGAAATATGAATTGAATTAACTAGTTTATGAAAAGGGATTAGGACTAAAAAATTAGATCGAATGGATAAAAGCAACTGTAAAATCAAATGTATTGAAGTTCTGATATCCATAACGGAACACAATCAATCAAGTGTGGGTGGAAATCGGTCGGAAAGAATCTCATTTGTTCTCTCATTTTTAAGATTCATATCGATCAGTAAAATGTGTTTCATACTATTTCAGTGTCTGGAAGCCTAGTAATAATCATAAAATTATAAATTATATGCAACTGTGTGAAAAATGATTCTGATGTTTGAGAAAGGAAACGATAGTAAGAGAAGTGCTCTTTTGAATATTTGTCAAGTATTTACGTCTTAAGTAATCAGTAGAAATGATAATTTAATTAGGGCTTTACCTATACCATGTTATATCATCAACTTTTCGTGTTTCTCGTCAGACGAGTTGTTCAAATTGTGATTTTACATAACACAATATTAAAATTAGTCATGATATGAGGAATAAGCAAGCATTATTAATCACTTCAACACTCTACAATCGAATTAGTGTATCTAGATAATGAGTGGTTTTCGAACTTCAGGGTATCAGCATTGAATGTCAAGCTGGTCGGTTTGTTGATAGTTCAATTAATTTCTGAAATATGACTGTTGATCATGTTTCATGTCTCTTTACCAAGCCGGCTGCAGAGTACGATTTTCTTCTAGAAATGTGATTATATCATAGTCCAGTATTCTGAAACAGCCTTTTCAGCTCAGTGTGTGTGTGAAAATGCCTGAAAGTGATAAAAACAGAATATAAACAGTGTAACATTATTTCACAAAACATTGATAATTATGGCTAAGCGAAAAAAGGAAATGCTCAGAATAGATAGTGAATCATTAATCGAAATGCTTGAATGGCTAAATGTTTTCTGTCACTTATTGACAAATAGGCTAGTAGTCATTTATGAAGATAATTTATGTTGACCAATTTATTCATTTGAAAATTGTAACTCAATATTCTTCCATTTTCAGTTGTGCATTTCAATATGGCTGGACTTAAAGTTTTAAGAGCGAAAGATTTCTTCTACATCAAACCTTATGAACCAGTAAGTGATGTTAGAGTATAACCTCTATTCTTAAGATTGTTAAGTAAGCACTAGAGATTGTTGAAATGAACTTGATTAGACAGAGGATAGAATATTTTTGAAAATAAAAGATTCGTCCAGGCTGAAGCTACTGTTTACGATCAGTGTCTTTACTATTTCTGGACTACTTAATTAGCTTTCGTTTCAGAACTACAGACTTAAATCAAGGTATTACTTTTCCTAAATTTGAAGGTAAAGTATATTCATGGATCCAACCACTCAAAATGATGAAAATCAAAATTCACTTAAACCGGACCAACTTAGCTTGCTGTACAATTCGTTGAAAGTGACACAATTCTGTAATGGTGGAGAAGATTTTGAGTCAGGTGGATTTTCCTGGTGCTATTGAGTTCTCTAATCTGAATGATTGAACAGATAGGCCACAGTTGTCGTTCTAAACAATCTCATCGGCTAACACTCTCTACTATTTTCTGCAAGATTCCAACAAGCAATTTTTGGAATCTCTCAACTTGGAACTTCTACGTTTTTTCAATTAAACTCCCATTTCCTTATGGTGGTGGTGTTTAGTTCTCTGATCTACCAATTGAGCTACAAATCTGTTCCACCATCTCACTCCCGTTTGCGTTTATCTACATGTAATGATATCAGTGGTAGTATCACTGGATATTTATTTAATAGTATGCATGTACATGTTTGTTAGCCAGGGAACAATGCCTACTTAGTATAATGTAGTGTTTATTACTGTTATTGTTATTAGGAACAACATTGAAACTTTACAAATTATATGTACAAATATATATATTCAGTTTAGACAATTCAACAACACGTAAATGACATTGTTTCTCATAATCAAATAGTGAATTTAGGTGTGCTGATGTTTTATGTTTATGAAGCTGCAAGATATGGCCTAAATGACAAATGAACATTTGCGATTGAAAAGTATATAGCGACAACATTTGTACTTTGCTCAATAATGCAGTACTAGTTGACTATCAAATGTTTACATTTTTATAGGGTTACATTGAATTCTTATGGAGTGCAGTGAGCGAGTGGTGTGTTGTGCTGAGTTGTGCAGAAGTAACATTTATCACAGCGTTGGAACTCCGTGATTTTGAAAAGTCAGTTTCAATTTAGAAACAAACGCACAAATAAATCCTTGTTGTCCAGAACTTATTTTGAAAGTATTTTGTGAGACATGGTAATGTAAATTCTACCGAGGTTCAGAAGTTTTACTTGAAATCATTGTACATAACTGATCATTCTAAACCTCTTGGTGAAAATCTGTAAACTTGATAACAGTTGGAATCTGTGTTCGATAACTTATATTCAAACGATTAATCAGATTTTTACTGTACAAATGTTATTTCTATATTGTACGTTTTGTATGAAGTTCTAGTTACCGAAGCATTTTGATATCAATAACTTGCATAATATTTTTGGCTTACGCAAGTATCAGATTACAGAGATATTTCTGACAAGTTAAGTTTGATTATATCCCTTATTTTTGAATTGTTTGACTATATTGGCTACGTATTATAATTGCCTCTCTTAGTATGATATGTTTCCAAATAAAAAAGGAAGTATTCGAAACTGCATTTCATGAATTCATGTATCAGTATTCTAACGTTTAGTTAATAAATTCAACAGTGGCATGTTGGTTTGCTAATAAGCAGCATTTATCTAATTATTTCCGACATAAATTTTCTAGTTTCATCAATGTTAAGGAAACGCTTGCATTTATCCTTCAAGTAACCTAATCAAGTGATATTTATTGTGTAGTGGAAAATTATGCTGAGTTGAAATAAATAGTAGAGTCATCAGCCACTTTTCAATGAAGTAAAGCTTGTATGAAATTGCAAAAGACAAAATCCTAAAATGAAGCAGAATGGTGTGATTTTATCATGTTTACGATTTCTCTTCAGTTGGTCAGAATGCAACATTCGAGTATTATATTATACGAATTACTAGACATTGGACTAATAATAGTCATTAGTAACAACTGAAAATTAAATTATACACATATATATACATTTGCAAACTAGTAAATGTGAGGTTATTTGAAGATGGAATTCAAAACCACGAGGTCGTGCCGTGTAAATCTATTGCTCCCGAAAATCTGTAGGACAGATTATCTATTGAACACAAGTTTGAGGAATTCACACAAGTTTAGAGAAGTAACTGAGTGAAAACGCAGTTGAATGAAGAGATAATCTTAACGTGGATTAGATAACAATCGACTTGGCTCTGGTCGCATACTGAAATAATAATCATAGTAATTATGTGTTTAATTACTCGCTTTGATCGAAAATGAGAATTCACTTAAGCACTAATGAATGGATAATTTTTCATGTGTTTTTTCCGTAAACTGGTCTTAACTAAACCACTGTTGAAAGCCTGAGATGACTGGACGGTTCGTCCTCCTTGAATGAAGCTCGTCATTATTGAGCACTCTCAACCCAGAATCTGAGAATCAAATCTAAGAAGATCGGTCTCAAGTTCAAACGTTTGGCCCCCTAGACGTTGTTCACTCACGTGGAGAGTAATGTTTGAGTAGAATGTGTCCATCTATAAATTCACAACTCGTTCAGATTTGATTTGCATTTGATAGAATGTAGATTGCAATTCCTTACTTAATGTCAGTCTGTGAATACGAAAGTAAGACATCTTTCTAGTCCATTACTCAGTTGATTTTGTCGATGAAGATAACACAAGCACACATTTAAAAAAGTATATTTTAAGCACAATTAGTGTTCCCGGAATAATGTTTACAAATAGCAACTTCAAAACAGATTATTTTTTTGACGATAAGCGCGAAATTTACTAAGCAAAATAAAATACAGACAGTTCACATTGGCAAGTTGGAAATAACAAACACTTCGTTCATATTCTCTAACTTTCTATCAATTTTTGACAGCCTTTCATTAGTGCTGTTATGAAGGAGTTATCAAGTTCTCAAACCGTATCAATATTTGCGACAAATCGCGAAGAAGAACTACTAAGGCGTCTGACTGTATTGAACACACTGATAAACGGCGATATCATTTCATTTGAAAATAACTTTCTTCCTCTCTTTTAGATGAGCATTTATACTTGGTTTCCATCAGTGACATGGGAGCATATATAACTCGTGAACGTGCTCCGTTACTTGATTCGGATCATTACTTTATTTGTGTTTGAACTGACGTACATGGCAAACTTTGAATGAATACACTCTTACACCGGAAAAAATAGTCAGATGCATGCACTTCTCCGCAGAATAGATCCAACATCTGAAAAATATTCTTCGCACGACTAACTGGGATTTATTTACAAATGACTCATTGAAAAGCATTGTTGATGTTGGACTTTTTATCCTAAATTCATCTGTGATGTGTGTTGTCCTACCAAAACTGTTTTTGTAAGCTTTGATTGACTCAAATCCCACAATCAAAACAATTATTAAGGGAAATGAAAGAATGTATAATGAGGAAAATTCTATTGAAGTTCAGCATTAGAAATCTGATCTTACTATTTACCCAGAAACTCTTCAAATACGTGGAAACTGTTAAAGAGCTTACAGGTGGGTGACGCACTTGTAACGATAAGTAGATGAGTGTTTGCAAACTAAATAAGTCAATTTTAGTTGACAGTAATATTTAAGGATTAGCACGGTATTGTGAACCACGTCCCTGGACTCATTAGAAATACTACAGCAATAAATTTGTTAGTGTTAACTAGTCTAGGATTCTCTCATTCATTCGTTTGTATTCTCAATAAATAAGCAATTCATTTTGTCGGTAATAATTGCCAACAGTTGTAGCAAGAAACCAGACGTGGTTTACTTGGATTAATCAATTTTAGTTAAAAGTAAGGTTTTTACCATTATTAAGTTAACAGTTGTGATAGTGGTCTTCAGTCTGACTGTTCATAACAACTGGTTTGCATGAATTATAAAGACATTTCCAATGAATATATGTAACTTACGTCCTCAAATTCGTTGTCCCTATGTAATACACAAATCACTTAACAAGATCATTTTGTTCATATTCAACTGTTTTCACACTAATTATATGCACATTTTATTTACGGTGAACATAAATGACTGTTTCAAATAATAAAATCAAACTTCTAAACACAAATATTCAACATTTAACTTATGGCGAATGATCTCGCTTCATTTATTAAAGCATTTAAACAATTTTTGTGGAAACATTTATACTGTCCAAATATCCATATATTTTCTATCTTTTTTCTCAATCGTTTTCTCGTACTTTCGCATTTCCAAACCAGTTATTAGCATAAGTTGTACATAACTCAATATGACAACCCATTCACACACTGCACTCCATTTAAATTCTTCATATCCCTGTTAATAAAATAAAATGAAAGGTTATTCATAAAGAGTGAGTAGTTTATGTCAAATTCTTTGTAATTTCACCAATTGTGTGATTTCAATAGTGAAATTTTCAAGAGAGACAGCGAAGAGAAACTACACACATTTGTAGAATAGTAAGACGAAATCGAAGTTAATGACCGGTGGATGGTCTAAAGGGATTGAGTGACTGTACTTCATAGAAAATATAAATTTAAAATCTGAATATCACTTTAAAAAAATATACAGTTATAGCCTGATGAACCAGGTTTCTTCCATACTAAACATCAAAAGAGAGTACATGATGTTCATCGTATTTCTATTTTACAGAGCACGCATGTGATTTATTACAGAATAAAAGTTCATCGCAAAAATACTTCGAAGATATTATAAGTAAGTTTTAAGTATTTGGACCATTTTGTTGTTGATATCGAGAACTGGATTTATTCAGCATTTCTCGGCATAGATCCAACATGATCAGATTTCCTCGATAGCTACAATAAATCACTTTTAAGCACAGTTAGATGGTGGTTGATCAACTGAATCTCTAATAAATACAGCAAGAAGATTCAAACACTTACAAAACCATCACTATTCCTACATGTCATATTAGGTAATGATAATATAAGCTCAGCAGTTATATGGAAATGTTTTGGTGTTTGAGAGGGAGATTACTGGATTCAAATCCTTGCGTGAATATTGAAACTAAAATTAATGTACTTCCAACCAACTAGTCCAAAATAAGACATAATAATCAGTCTAAAAATATTTTGAAGAGTTGTTTTGGGCCTGATAATGTGTCATTGTAAATGTGTATTCATATTCATAGTACAGTTTGTTTTTAAATGTGATCACTTACTGGTTCATGTCTTTTTATGTAGAACGGATCTTTAGCAGCCAGAACTCGAAGACCAGCCTTGTTAAAATAACGAACTGTAAAAATTAATGAACAATAGATAAATCATCAGTCGAATCTATCAAATTAAAGGGTATGATTGAATGTCATTTTTTACCGTACAATGTAAATTGCGTTCCTCAAATTCGATTAGTGACATGGAACAGCTTTCGAGCTACGAGTGTAACCGACTGTTTTTAATGTTAGTAAATCTTACATAATATTGGTACCGCTATAACAATGTTGTATATTTGTATAAATTTCTGTCTATCAATACTACAACAAATGAGATGAATAAATATTTGAGCATTATAGAAGCAGTTACAAGACTTGTAAAATTGTTGATCACATCTTCTAAACGACCAAATGCAACAGTCACACGAACCAGTCTTTCACATTATTACAAGTTTTATACAGCTGTATATGTCATCTTATGACTGCTGCATGAAATAAAATATCTCAAAAAAGAATGATGATACCTCGGATTATACAAATACTTGATCATCGACATTACCACAGCAATATTCAACTTACATAAATAGGATCCCAGTCCCATTTGAGTCAACACAAGTATTCTTCCACAGACAAACCACTTCCAAGGACGAAATGCAAAGACCACAAGGGATGTGTTTATTGTTACGACAACAGTGTGACAAACGAAACTTATCACAGTCAATCTGTAATGAATTCTATTGTTGTGTTTGGTCTGTAATTGAAATGAATATTAATGTGACATTTCTTAATGTGGGTGTTGAAAGGTACATTATTAGGCATCTATTAAATTGATTCTTAGTCTGATACTTATTACATAATTAATGTGCCCAACACTAGCTGAAGTAGTGGTTGAGCTCAACTTTCTTAATCAAGAATCTGAAATAAGTGGGACAGTAAGAACTCGAAAAGATAGAAAAATCGACACTGCTTCTTAGCCGACTCGGCCTACCGTCTGACTGATCGCAGCTCGGATGAGGTTACAGTGGTTGTCGTGAACTCGAGATATTATTCAGTAATTAAGTGATCAGCAATCTAACTGTGATAATAACGAACAATTAGAAATGCTATGTAAAAAACTACCATCCAGGTTCAGTTTGTCAAACTTAGCCAAACTCCGTTTGTGCGATAGAGGTTATAAGAAGCCAAATAACGATTCGGTTAGATGAATTTATTTAAGACAATTATTCGTGCTGAAAGACATGAGAATAAAAGCACACAAACAGAGCGAAGCGAAGTGGAGAAGACGAGCGATCCAACTCCATGCACTGAAGCATGACTCAGTATTTACAGTCATATAAAACAAGCCAGACATGCGATAAGCGACGTAAGTGTGCTCACATATACTGGAATAAAAGTGACTAGGATTTGGGAGTATGACTGAAAGGGTAAAAAGGCGAGTGAATAATGACTCAAACACAAAAAGCAATGAGTTTATCCGAAAGCTTGGACAAGCTATGTGGGCTCAATATAGAAGTGCACACACTACAAGGTGACAGGTGAATCCTACGGAAATCTTTTAAACCGTCTGCATGAAAATGTAGGGGAACGCTTCTGCGAGGAAAACTCGATTGGTGAAAAATAATTATTTGCTATTGTACTCGTTTTGTTTAACTGTACCAAAAGCACTTTCTTGTGTGCAGTGTTCTTTTGGCGTTTTGGCCATTTTTCGTAACTTGTTGCTTTATGTACGCCTACTTTCTCCTTCAAGTAAATATTGGACCATGGATTTATTTCTACATTACGTGACGGGATAGCGTAGAATATTTAGTGGTGATCATAGTCAATCTCGACTAGGTCATCACTAAAAAATCAAGCGATCTGATTTTATAATATTGACTGGTTACTACAATACTCAAGGACGCAGACTAAGTGAAACCAGGAGACTCCTGGTTAGACCTCATGGTTGAGCAGCTAAAATGGAAGGTGATCACGATTGTCTGCTGCGATTGTATTCAGATAACCGTCAATTTCTGGCAAATACCAAATATACAGTTATTGATAAATATCTTTTGACATGGCAAGGGGCCCGAATAAAGCATAACGCTATCGGTCACCGATGGAGAGTTTCGGTAGAAGACTGCTGCCGATAATGAAGCCGATTTTCAGACTTCCATCATGCCAAAGTACGAGCACATACTCTTCTGCAGCTTCAATTCATATGAAAAGTAAAGTCACGAAACTCCCTACAGTTCTAATTAACGATAGCAAAGCCAAGAATATATTTCGAAGGCAATTACATGGCCAAGTGAGTGATTTCCACGTAGAGAGAAGTTTGAATTGCTAGCGCAAAGTTGTCGAAACATCAGCAATATCTGCCAGTAATGTAAATGAAACGGATGAGCAGCTGAGGAAGAATAAACTTGAGAGAGATAAAAGCTGATGCAATGATCACGAACAGTGGTGGGAGAGGAAAGCAAACGGGGTTTAAAAGGTGACGGTTATAAGAAACCGCATACACTTGTTCAGACATCAAGAAAACTGGCATTGAAAATCCTTTGGTAAAAGACAGGGCTATCATGCACTTCAACCAGGAGATCCGGAAAAGGAGAATAACACTTTGGTGAGCAGTTGAACTGTCCATCAACCACACTTCAGTTTCCCACCATCTCTTGTCAACTTGAATGCAAGTTGATATGAGTGCTTCGACTAGAAATGAGGTTGAAGCACTGTAGGCAATATACAGTGAGGGTGAGCAGCAAGTCCTGAGATTTTTTAGGACGCTCGTACAGTTTCAGCGACGATATTGACTGAGATCTATGCTATAATTTAGGAACTTGACGCGATTCCGTCTGACTGGTCTCAACCGCTTATCGTCTCAGTCTTTACAAAAGGACGAAAATGCCCACATGACAATCACAGAAGAATCATTTCGATCAGTAAAATGTTAGTTTCAATAGTATTTGAAAGTCTACATAGAGCTCGTGACCAAATATTTACTGTTCGATTGGTTCTGGGAAATGGACATACTTTTCGACGTCCGACAATAGCTGCATTCTCCACCTTAAGGCAGCAATAGGCTCTGTTGATCATGAGGTTCTGTGACAGTGTCTGTAAGTAAAAGGTGAGCTAAAGACGTACACAGTTTCTCTACGTGATTAGTGGTGGCCGAGTGATCTCTTAGCGCACTGTTATTGGGTTGACGATATGAGTTGGTTTCCTTATGGATTGGCATGAATCACCATTTAGACCAATGATTCGGAGTGAAGTTGTTAAGCGTTTTGACCGCTACATTTATATTGAAAGTCTCACCTGTGCTGATGGCTTGAAGTGCGACGAAAACCCGGTGGGGATGCGAGATCTTAGACTGGCTTTTATCAGCTTTGGTCACATGTGGGGTTGGAGAGATGCCTGTCTCCAAAAAAAGCACCAGTTTACGAAGCAGCAGTTCACTCCGACCCACTATACAGAAGTACCACATTGTCAATAAGAATAGATGATATTCGTAGAGTACCAAAACTCGATCACCAGTGTCTTTCATGAATGTGCTTATGTGGTATAGCAACTTGAACTGATGTACACACGTACCGAGAGCTGGCTGACTGATATTCTAATGTTCTTAATTATGTTTTCACATAAAAATTCAAGTGTTTCTAAAACCCTCAATCCTTTGTCTGCGCATGAACAAACAGGAGATTCAGAGCAGCAGGCTTGAAAAACTGTAAAAATGAGGGACGCGAACGCAGTCAAAGACATCAAACGAACGAGAGCAGAAAAAGCAAAGGCAAAAGCTCATTACACAGAAGCAAATCAGTACGTGGATAGAAGCATCAGCTTCGACAAACGTATACAATTAGAAGACCTAGAAATGATGGAGGAACTAGCTACAAGAGAAAGAAAATTGAGACACTTGTACGAAACAACCAAGAAGCTCCACGGAAACTGTACTAAACCAGAACGACCAGTGGAAAGAGAGGAAAGAAAGTAATCACCGACTGCTTATAACAGTGAAACAGGTGATTGAAACACTTAGCAGAACTCTTTAATAAACCAGCGTCACTGGACTCATTCAGCATGAAAGCAGCACCCACGGACCTCACGATTAATATTGTTTCGACAACAACTGAAGAGATCAGTATGGCCATAAGGAAAGTCAAGAGTGACAAAGCAACAGGACCAGATGACATTCCAGCTGGGGCGGTGGATGCCGACACAACAGTAACTGCAAAGATACTTCACGTTCTCTTCAGCAAGATTGGGGGTTCAAGAACAGGTACTAACAGACTGAAAAGATAGCTATGCCGTCAATATTCCAAAGAAGGGCGATCTCAGCAAGTGCGAGAACTACACAGTCATCATCTCCCTCTCAATGCTAGGCAGTCTTCATCAGGGTGTTGTCAAACAGAATGAAGCACTTCGTAGACTCCTAACCTGAAGATCTGATGAGTTGAACGGAATATTCATGCAAGGAATACAGGTCACAGATTCGTTCAAGGCGAATACTGGAGTCAGGCAATGGTTGCATACTCTCATTCTTTCTCTTTCATCCGGTTGTCGACTAGATGGAGGCATGGGATACAATGGACGGGTAGGATGCAGCTGGTTTAGTTGGAATTCGAATGATGGGCTCTTCTGTAGCAGACGCAACAACAAATGCTATAGAATACGGCCAGTGTAGCAGCAGTCTCAGCACCAGGTCTCGACATAAGTAAGAGAAGTGAGATTCCTCCATAGTGAAGAGGATAGGACGCACATTGAGGAAAGCAACCGACTGCGTTACAAGACAAGTCCCCACTTAAAACCCTGACTGTCAGCGGAGGAGAGAAAGGCGTAAATATACATTAGCAGATAAATGGAGAGAGAGAGAAGAGAAAGGTGAACTAAAAATTGGACAAAACTATAAATAAAAGACAAGGACAGGTTAGGTTTGAGTGTGCTGGTCAGCGGCTTATGTTTCATTGGGGGTAAGAGGCATGAGAAGGAATATTTACTAAGATTTTGAGGTTTTATGTACGGATATTGTTGGAAAAATTATTTTATTTGTTTCACAGTATGCATTTTGTGAGCCTCATAACCTTTTCAGTAACATGGCTTTTAAGATAACATTTTACACATTCAAGAATTTCCATATACTTCAATGCTTCATTATCGTTAAAATTGTTACATTCAAAGCTGCCTACATCAATGAATGATAGTATCACAATACAAATACCCAACACTGTGTAGAGAGCTGCTGAAAAAATGCACATGACTTGACCAATCATGGATTTGGTACGCCTTTTGAATATTTTTATCATCATGATGCTCCATAACCACTGACTTATGATCGCTAAAGTGCAAAATGAACGAAATAAAGAATATTTAAGGGAACAGACACTACGTTAAGATAAAAAGAGAGTATATAGAGTATTTCTTTGTGATTCGGAAACCACTAAGTGTCAAACTACAATCCCTTTGTATGTAAACAATATACATGAATGCGTTTTCACAAAATATTACCAAGCACTGTTGGTTACAGTGCGTACATTCCCCAGCAAGACACATCATCTGATTAGGCCATCTTCTGCACAATAAATAGTCTCTTCGATGCCACCAACACATACTATTCGATTACTAACTCGTGTTTAGACTCCTATGCACCTCTCAAAATCTACAGGATCAGTGAGTCGAACACGTTACTTACACCAGCTAAATATTGTAACAAACAAAACACCTATGAGATGGTTCTACAACAGGCGCACAAATAATCACAATCTGTAGTCAAAGTAGGGAGAGGCAATGGTTGTTAGCCGATGTTGAGGAGATGTCAGCGCACAATAACAACTCAAATGCATGAAACTTAATACTACTATTCAAAAAACGCCTTGGAAAATTGCGAACCTTGAATAATGAATCCTTCATAAATGACTCCACGACGGTCTCAAAACTTCTCAATGATATCTTTGCAAACGGTGATTGGTTTCTAAATGATATCTTTCCAAACGTATATTGCCACAATGGTAACACAATACATTGTATTTCTTTCCTAGACATAAACATCTATTCCTCTCCGAAATGATGGCTTTGTGGTTGTTCAACATTCTCCTCCAGGAGAAAGAATTACCCTGACGTTCTAAAGGAAAATTCTGATTTCTGTGAAGATGGATAATTGCTTGTAGTTCCAGGTGCTTTCCACTTATAGAAATGCTGCACTTACTTTGTTGATTCATATCGTTACATCTGCATCAGGTGCACCTAGCTTATCGATGATGCTACTCAGATCTGTGTGGTAAATTTACTTTTATGAAGAGAACGTGATAGGTCTGATAGGAAAATTCGACATTATAACCAATCATACCTGTGGTTGTCTTACTAAAATCCTTTGTTTATTACCCTTTCTTTAGGCGCAACCTTTCCGTTTGTGTTGCTGCCATTTCGGTTACAGTGTCTCTGTAATTCAGCCCCTCTATTCTGACACGATTTCAGCATCCTATCGACATCACGAAATCGTCAGCAAATATATTCACTTCTATAGACTATTTCATCTTCTCTGTGACGGGCTTCTAATTGTTTTGTAGTAGTGATCTCAGTCGAGCTGCTGCTTTGTTCAAAGAAGTCAGTTACAATGCGTCTTATTCATCTATCACAGTTTCATCATTCCATTTTCATCACTCTCCTACACATCACTGCAGGTTGCTTGTTTGTTTTACGTGCACGATTTTCGCACTAACGCTAGATACTTAGTGGTCACAGGTACCCACCTTTGTGTTGCATCGACGGCTACTAGCAAGTCTCAAGCTACGATAATTCGACCACGCGCTGCAAATGGCTCAAGTCATTCCTAACTACCATACATGACAGCTATCGATCAACCTGAATAATTGACGACAGTATCTGTGGATGTTAGTCCTTGCTGATGTTCCCATGACCGAACTCGGTATCCATTTCCTACAGCTCCATGAACTCCTATTCGATTCACATTGACTGTAGTTAGTCGATTCTTCGTCGAATATCAAAATCCAAGAGTTTTAACGCTTCAACAGTTGTGCACCAAATCACTAGTGTATCTTTTTTCATGATCATTTATTTCATGTTATATTTGGTGCATTACCCGAAGTAAGGAAACTGGGGAGATTCTATCGGTGATTATTTATGTAGCAAGCCACATCGTCACCTGCAGTTCCCTAGTCATGGCAAAATGTCGCCGACTGCCACTGGACAAATCAGTTTTCGTTGGGGAGCCTTTTGGCAGTTTACTTGCTATATGAATTATTTCAGCTTTCTCACAGTCCTTGAGCCTCATATCTCCATTCTGTTCGCAAAACGACAGCGTTATTTGAAAACCATGCGGCGCTTACAGAGCCGCAAATGGCACAGAATCAACGTTCCGCCTCTTCTTCACCATTCCTTGATAGTCATTTACCTGTCCCTATGTTTTCGTACCGGTAGATTCCGTATGAGTACTTTTGCAACATCCTCACAACGTTTGTTTTCACGTGATCTCCTGTCACGAAAAGACTCTCAAGGTTGATTGACACGATCAGCATTGATCGCCTCAATCCAGCACACGTCAATGACAGTGCCACACCAGATTAACCGAGATTATATGCTAGATCCATCCAACGCAATAGTGGATCGCAATGTCTCCTACGGACCTCACGCTGCATATTTCGAAGAAACTCATTCTCATGCCACAGTTAGCAGCATGCGTCATCTGCACTAACCACGGATGAGACTTCAGTCCCACATCCAGAGTAGCAGATCATGCCGCCCTCGACTCCGGGTGAGACTGCAGTGTCAGGTTCTCAATTATGAGCAAAGAATGAGACTATCGTCGAGCCTGCGTAGTGCGATCCGGTGGAACCTATGTAGTTTAGTGATATCGTCATATCTAGTGTTGTCCGATCCAAACTTGATGTTTGAGTATCCCATTAAAATGGTCAAGTCCTTCGCTTGTAATTTCTCAAAAATAGACTACAACCACTCGTAGACTTTATCTGAATAGTCCACATCATTATCGTTGCTGGTCGCACTGTAATGAATTATATTCATTGTGACCCTCTTTCTATGTTTCGAAGAATGTTAGACTAATCTTCACCTCATGAGATGCTCACCCTATAAGAGCATCTTATGCTTCTTTAAACAGCAATAGGACAAATATTTGTGTATGTGAGACACCTCCTTCATTGCTGTAGTACAGCAGCATCACTTCAGAAGCCAGACTTTTCCATCTAGCCTGCATCCAGTTCGTCTCACTTATCCCAAATACCATCAGGTTGCATCTCTTCGTTTTCGCGGACATTTCAATGATTCTTCCTGTCTCTGACAATGTGCGAATATTCCATGTGACCATATTATTGGTGCTCTGCTTGTCAGAATGGGCATTAGCTTTGTGATTCCACAAGGATATCGACTTTCATCATGCATCACGATAATTTTTTCAAATGAAGTCTTCGAACTGCCAGAGCCGATGTTCAACTATTTGAATTATTTATTGTGACAAGAGCGTTTTAGCGAGTTAGTCATATACAGGTCTCAGTCGAAAACCGAAAGCCAAACTCCCCTAATTACTCCACGCTTGGGAACGATAGTCATCACACAAGGGCCCCAACTTCGACTCCTAGCACATTAGATTGTATTTCATTCACTCATCTACCATAAAAAATAAGCCATTACTCAATCTTAGATTACAACCAGTCATGAAATAAGCAGGGATTCATCCAACTTTCGTCACACACGCTGTGTCTTATATTCTACCACTTTTCCTTTAACTGGGAACACAATCTCCGACTCTTTCATGAGTTAAATAACTTTGGATTGGGTCAAAAACGCCTCGTCTGCTTGTTAAAATTTCCGAATCAGAGCACTTCAAACGATCTTAAATAACATCTCTCCCCATCACATAAACTCTTCCCATTCATTTCAAGTTGAATTTGTTTATCAACAAGCATGAATTCTGTAATTGCAATTTTCTAAATTTTACTATCATCATCATAATATTTCTTGTATGGTCCACAGTTTTATTTGTAATGAACACAATTGGAATCGCTTGTTTCCAGAATGAACTAGACTGTATTGAGAAAAAACTGAGATAATCTTTGTTGCTTCGTCATTGTGTATGTTTCAAATTTTCGCTAAAATCTACTTGTTTTACGAAGGACATTTAGTCTAGTCATGCATAAAAAGGAATCGGTCATTCCTGAACTGTTTCAGTATGATGAAATATAATTTAAATTTATCAGACAAAGATAGCAACGTTAATGAAATCTCTGCATACTTACTCATCACACCATATGAGCCCATCAAACTCATGAACATATACCTTTCCGGCGGGTAGACGCCTAGAGAACTAGAAAACAATAAGAAACTTATAAGTTGTAGTATTTAGAAATGTGAGTGTCAAAATTGTGGTTATCAATTCAACTGTATTAAATTGGTTAATTTCTATTCTGACAGTTCTAATGTCGAAATAAAATTATACCGAAATTACTCTATCAGATATTCATATTCAAAACATTGATGAATCTTGATGAATTTTAAGTCTCTTTCGAAACGTCACAGTTTTAAAGAAAATTATGTTGAATTCTGTTAAAGCAACTGCAAAGCGCGCTGATGTGAGCTTCTGTGTACACTTCGTAAATGTTCACTAAATCTTTGTCTCAAGACATTAAGACCAGTAGTTAACGGATTTCGTTGTTTTGAAGATCTGTTGGACTTCTTAAAATCACTAAAAGGTTTGATAATAAGAGTTTACAAATTGCATTGTTTTAATTTTGCAGTAGTGAAGATCTTACACTTTCAAATAGTAGGATAATATATATCTTTATTTTGAAGGATTTGAACGTTATACTAAATTAAAAATATTAAGGTTATGACGTCTCCACTGATTAAGCAGAAATTAGCAATCATACAAAGAGAAACCTGTCCACTGTGAAGCTTTTTAAAGAAGATGATTTTTTATTGAAAATGCTTGTTTGTGGATCATAAAATTAATAGGCGCACTATCTGGTCTCTAAGACCAAACACTAGCTCAACTTCTTTTTCAGGTTTCTCAAGTAGTACTTTTACCGGCTGTGCATAGCCGGGAGTTACACCCGCCTTCATACTACTAAAAGTAAATTAGTCCAAACTAGTGACAGTCGAATATCTGCTACATCTCTAGGTAACCCTCTCATCTCCACGATTAGCTATTCTTTCATTGCTTTGCTCCCTCGCACCGCCGATGCAAACGTTTTGAGTTCAAGAAACGTTAATCCTAGTCTACAGAAACCACTCACTAAACTACACGTTAAAGCTTTTACTGTCTTGGCCTCGTGCCAAATAGCGCGACAGGGTTTCTCAGCTAGGACTCAACAATCTCGTGCCATAAATAATGAACAATCTCAATTCATGTTTCTTGTTTCTGGAAGCCTTGATGCTGCTTCTCGTCGCCTCACTGGTTTACCGAATGCATTTAGTCCCAGGGCATAACTAGCTGTCTTCGTCTAGATCCCATTAGACTGTCACTTGTGTGTTGCCCAAGTAAATAAAACAGTAAGGGCTCGCAAAAATAGGTCCACTTGCTGTTTCATCTTTGTCGTCTCTGCATACGATTCCAATGACTGTAGCTCAGACGAGCTAAAAGATGCGTTTAAAGGGAAGATTTTCGACCTTACTCGAAAGTTAGGCACTCTGACGTTGTTTTAACGATAGTGACATCATTTCTAAACTGGGAATACTAAGGACAATCGCGACCGTAAGCCACTGGTGGAGATGCTCTATTGAAGACAGTCACTTATGCTGGAGTACATGCCTGGGTTCAGATCACGCTTTATTGTTATCGCGTATTTGTTTGCGTCTGATAGGGTGAAAGAAAAAGATTGCAAGGAAATCTCTTAAGGCTCTACTTACTGATAATAAAGCTAAGAATATATTTCAGGAACAAGTGCAAAAACAGTTAGGCAGCCATGTAGTAAGTGATGCCCACTCTGAGGCAACATGAAATGACAGCAAACTAGCTGTTGAAACAGAAGTGATATCTGCTACTAAAGTGAACCATTAGGTAAGGGATAAGCAGTGAACCTCAGTAACATCTACCGAACTGATGGATGCTCGGAAGCTCAACCCACCTGGCTCTGAGTACGGTGGGGAGCGGAGTCTGCTTGAGCGAAAGGTGATAAAAAGCCGTCGCAATGATCGAGAACAGTGGTGGATAGCGAAATCAAGGGAGATGGAAAAGGCAACAGCGATAGGCTACAGTAGGAATCTATTCCGACTCATCAAGGAAACTGGCATTAGGAACCCGAATGTGAGTGAATGGGAAACCGACATAAAACCTTCGAATCGTTATGGAGTTAAGAAAGCGATAAGAAATCTCAAGCGAAGGAGAGTCGCGGATCCTGACATAATGAAACCTGAGATTTTAAGGAATGGTGGTCCAGTTTTAGCAGCTAGATTGACTGAGATCTTAAGTAGAATCTGGGAACTGAACGTAATCCCATCCGACTGATCCAAATCCCTGTTTGTCCCAATTTATAAGAAAGGACAAAATTCTTCTTGTGACAATCATAAGGGAATAAGTTTAACCAATAAAGTTTCTAAATTGTTAGCCTTGATAATACTTAGACGCTTCACTAGAGCTCGTGGAGAGCAGACTAGATAAAACCAGGCTGGTTTCAGACCTGGACGTGGATGTATAGATTACATCTTCACACTACGACATATCCTAGAACGAAGACACAAATTAAGGTGTTCTACAATAATTCTCTTCCTGAACCTTAGGACGGTATTTGGCTGTGTCGATCGTGAGGTTCTGTGGCAGTGTCTGCTATTGAAAGGTGTAGCAGTGAAGTAAATAAACCTTATACGAGCTCTCTACTCGAACACTACAGGTCGAGTTAGAGCTTATGGTGATCTGTCATTGGAATTATTCACATCAAATCGTGCCCGTCAGGGATGTCCACACTCTCCATTCTTGTTCAATTTCTTAATAAAATTTTCAGGTGTGAATTTCCATCTGGAGATTTGCTCGCTCACTTAGAAAATAGAGATGAAATACTTCTGAGATCCACTAGTTCTGGATCCCATTAGACGTTCTCTTATGCACTGACCGAATGAACGGGACAATAGGGACTCGGACAGATAGAATTACTCGTCGTTGCCTCAAAGTAGTCTCTAACTACGCTCCCACCGACTGCAGTTCAGACTAAGTAAAGGTGATGGGTTCACCTTTGAGAATTTTGGGGATCATGATAACACAATTACCGGATGAATTTTCATACGTGCACCCTCTACCAATAGACTTGCTTGTCGACTTACAATATGACAGCGACATCGTGGAGACGCTGAAAAAAATGCTGACTCGTTTGAACACCTTAGGCAAATATGCAAGCATATTCAAGATGAGATTGTAGCCTCAGTACGCAAAATGTTGCTTCAGGATTGGCTTGTGTCGACACCTAAACCAATGATAGGGAGTGAAGTATTCTAGCATTTTGATCGCTTCACTTATCCTGAAAGCCTCTTCAGTGTCCATGGCATCGTGAATGACGCAGTCTCAGCACGAACACAAAAGGCTTGACTAGCTTTTGCCAGCTTCAACCATTTATCGCATATTCGATATGTCCGTCTACTAATCAAAATACAGGTTCAGTGAGCAGCAGCTCGCTCAGTCCTATTCTGCGGCTTTGATACATGGCCATTAGGAGTAGAGGAGATTCGCAGGCTATTAGAACTCGATGGTGGATATCTTCGAAGCATTTCTTGTATATCCTGGGACAATCGAGGAAACGGAAACTAGTTAAGGAGGGTGAATCAATCGACGAATTGGTGATTCTTCATTGGTTGAGATGATCGGGACACGTGTTGTGTGTTCAACATATGACTGCGCCGAAGTGATATCTTTTGTGGTGTTCGAGAAGGTTAGAATAAAGCTAGGGGCTGACAAACCAAAACGTGGCACGAATTCACGAAGTCACTGACAACTAGAATGGATTTCGTTGATAGCTTTCAACAACCTGGTTGAGTGATGCGAGACATATTGAACTGATGTACGTAAGTACAGACTTCTACGCTGTTACGGACTGATTGACTGATATCGTCATGCAAACTGTGATCATGGATATGAATGCATATATGAATTTCAAATTGTTTACATTACCTTACATATGGAACAACAGGCTGCACATGATCATTTGAAATGGCCACAAAGTATCTAGAAGCAAAATGCAAACGATTACTTATTGATGGGCTAACTACAGCAATTATAGTTTTGCGTATGAGGAAGATGCAATATACATAAACATTTATATGTATATATATATATATATATATATATATATATATCAATATATATCAATATATATTTATATAAATCAGCAGACGTCTGCTACTAATTCACAGATTATGTAAACGTAATGGTGAATTTTGACTACCCTGTCTCACAGCAATCCTGGTCTTCAACTTACTGTGATTGAGCCATCAATCTTGATCTCTGAACACTCATCTCTGCTAGTAGTAGCTATATTCTACTTTTATGTCACATTGTGAGTAGCATCCAACACATTCGGTTATCCAGTCTCATAAACGAACGTTTATTCTCTAGAGCATCGAGCTGACACAACCACATACTGACAAATATTTTGTGCTCACCAGTGGTTAAATTCATGAAATATTCTCTGAGTTCTTGTGGGAATCCACTGCATACTACTGGTATGTCAATCTTTGAGTAGTGTACACCACAACAGGTTTGATTAATTTTACTGTTGTACTGGGTAGTCTTTGATTGAATCTGAAAGACCTAAATTTATGTTCTTCAAATGCTCTGATTGCCACCATTCCTAACAAATCTTCGCTTTTATAATATAATGGATTTTATTAATTGTAGTCTCTCAACCACATTTTTAATTTTCTGATCAATTTATCCACTCTACAACTTCTTTCTTAAATCGAGATCATCACTCTTATTTGTTGACTCAGTAATAAGCCCTTGAATTGTAATGCAGTTAAATGTAATGGTTTAGTATTTACACTTCTGCATCAATTGTTTGCTACACTTATCCTCATGCAAAATTGACATTACTTTAGGAAAATATGCACCGATTGAAGAAATTATTCGCGTTATTGTGAGCTCAGTATGACATAGCAGTAGTTCTAGTTTAATGGTCGATTGCGAAGTTAGTTACAATCAGGTTGATATTTTCTAAACTATATTATTTTTGTAGGCTATTAGTATTGATAGTAAAATATTACTTAAACGTCGTTCTCGACGACTTGAAATAACTTCGTATCATGTGACATTCTTAAATGTACCGTATAAAACAATGCTAACTGCTATTGTTCGGATTTATTTAGCTGTAGCTGAGAGAGTAATGAGGAAATGTATAGTTTCGATGGATTTCATCAACAAGTATTTTATCACTATAGATATAAGACAACACTTAATCTAATCACCTTTTAGATCAGATTTTCATCACACCAAGTTTCATACAACATCATTGTCTAACAGATATTGAATATCATTTCTGGAATATTTTGTGGACGAAAAATGTTTTCCCTATTCCTAAGTATTCTTTTCATCTTACAACAGATAACCGTTAATATTTACCAGACACATAAATGATATTTATGAATATTTCAAACATTGAAATTTTTGACAAAAAGAACATTCTAATCAAGTGTTTATGGATATAAGATCCTATTTATTGCATACATTCCTCTAACAGAACAACTGCACAACTTTTCAGTCTTAAATATTTTTGACCAAAATATATTGTATAAAACTTTTGTGATAAGAATGAACCATTCTACATTCTAAAATTCTATTTAACTCGTAATTGATTCACATGTGTTTATTACACAGATAAATAAATATGAGCATAATTGAATTTTCTCTTTCGTCATTATTTTCTACCACTTATTCAGCATGAGTTTGTGTATCAGATGATAGAAAACCACGTAAATAATGAATCTTTTCAGTTGAACATGTATTCACATGATGTTTTTGAAAATATCCAATAAAGCTTCACATGATTTTTCATTCAATGTTGTCACATTAAATCTGAGTTCAATAAATTAAAACAGAAGGCATGACCACATGACCACTTACTAATACATAAAAAATTGTTTACTCACCCTACAGGTAACCAGAACAATGCGTGACAAACTGCATATAAGGGTATTCGAGATGGATAGAAGTTGATTCGGACCATTTTCCTAATTGATCACAAAAACCAAGCGGTAACTGAAAACGAAATAATAAACATGTATAACATAGTATAGATGCATTTTTTACTTCTGGTCTACCTCTATTTGACAAATCATAGGGACTAAGATAAAACATGTGTTATATTCGAATAAAAAAACAATTAATATGTTTGGTTTTCTAATCTATGGTGTTTCTTTGGATGTGCTTCGGAAAATGTCGGTTTTCTTTCTAAATACAGAGTTCCTACCAATCAACTGACCGTACTGATGAAGATGATATTCTTGATAATCAAACTTGAAAGAGTGAACTCTCAGTGAATGTTGATTGTCATGAGATTATCCTTTCAACACTATCCAATATATGGTTTCACTTTCATTACATTCACTTCGATTACTTATACTACTCCAATTTATTTTCGTTTGTATATTTTGGAAAATATCACATTATTTTGCATTGTCGTAAAACACATGGAAACATGCACTTTTGGAGTTACCAGTTATTTTTTCCCAGTGATGTTTGTTAAAATGGTCATTCAATGATCAAAACTAGCAAAATCAGAATATTTTTAAGTATTCTGTACTTAAACATAACTCAGACCGTTAGTATTTATTTGTGTTCTTTAATCTAGATGACCTAATAGTGAAGATATTAATTTCTTTCCTAATAATATCTTTAGCACATAATTATATAATCAATGAAACAATACATTTCTGCCATCAAACCAGTTAATGGAATCGTCTATAACTTGTTTGGTAAATTTGTCCAACCACACTTCATTTTGAACTTGTGAATTGATTTTGATAGATTTGTGGAAACTAGAACCCGCAATCTGACCTTCATACAGTGAACAAGGTCTAAAAGTTGAAGCTATTCTTTGTGTAAGTTGAAATAGATATAAAATGAGTAATGCACATATAATTATCTAAATTTACTGAAAAGTGCAGTAATCGAACTATATATGTGTAGTGTGAAAGCGTCTGCCTGTGATGTCAGCTGAACAGTTTTAACAATAGTAACAAAATAACGATCTGTTAAGTATCTTATGGCGTTTTAATCTGATTACATAGTAAATTTTCAACTTTTAATATGCAACTCAGTGATATACATTCGCACGAAAGAGTACATATTTCACAGTATTGAATAATGTTTGTTTCATATCTGTACTAATCAATAAAGCGCATTGTCTATCGATACTCCACATATATTTACACTATATTAACAATCATGCAAAATTCAACTTATCTTTCTGTAAATTCAATTTATTTTGATTTTATATGAGTTATATCATTCTGTTTCTGAAAGCACTAAAAAGTAATCGAAATAACGAGTAGCTCACAAGCATGCCGGTGGAATTTCACAAAATAATCATACCAAATAATCAGTTTAGGTATTCTGACAGCGTAAAATGAAACAACAATCCATAAATTTGGTGAAAGCAACCACTTGCTTTTCTTAGAGCTAAAACAATAATTTCTGTGAACAGTCTGTAAGTTTCGAATGAATTTTCATGTCACTCTCAATAAGAATATATCAAGGTTTCTACACAGGTGGATGTATCATGTAATTTAAAATCCCCAAAGAAATTTAAAAATACAAAGCCTATTTGATCGAACAATTGTTTTCAGTTACTACATCATCAGTCCCTACAGTTATGAGTATGTAAATGGATCTGTTATTTTTACAATGGCCAAGATAAAGCATGCACTGATGAATCAGATAATGTTATTTGCTTAAAACGCTGAAAGTTTGGAACAGATAAACTGTAAATGCATCAATATTGTGGTATTTGTATGTCGGCAAGGTCATTTAACAACCGTCAGTTGTAATCAGTAACTCGTGTGAAATCTCTGCTACTATTGTGGTGCTGTGGTGCGAACTACTTATAAGTAGTATATAACGTGACTGTCAACGTAAAGTCTGGTAGCATAATACGGGGGGGAAGATCAAGAAAGGAAGAGTTAGAAAACAATGGAATTTGTATGAAACGCATGAATAGCGATAATGGATTGATGTTTGGCAACAGAAACAGTCCAGTTCCATAGGATGAACTGATCTTTTGCAAATGAACGATTTACGATATGGTTTTCCGATTTTACTGAGTAACTCTGTAATTTTCGTTAAATACAATTCGGTTGCCCCCACCTGTGTTCTCATTCACTACACTATGCGTCTTTTGTAAAATAACACAATAATTATGGACTTATTACTGAAAAATTGAATGATGAAGTTACTGAAAAAAAAAAATTCTTCTTTATTCTTTGTTTTTGATAATTGAAAATGAATATGCATTTGCATGATTTTAATACTCATTTAAACAAGTGATCTACCAATGTACACTAAAACTAGATGAAAAAAAATGCAGAAACTAACGTAACTGAAAAAATTGTTGTCAGATCCGTGTCGAATTTAATTTTACTGATATTCTATCTACCAGTTGAAAACAAAATGCTACATGCATTCTAATTCTGAGTAATGTCACTGTCGAACCAGCAATCAACTAATACTGTTTAAAACTGTCACAAAATATCACATTGAAGACAGTACTTTGTAGCAAGGTGTATAATAAGAGAAGTTTTAACTCACATTGATATAATTCACTTATTCGGTCGATACATAATTTATTCCACTAATTTTAAAACGCTTAATAGATCGTTCCAAAAATGTATCAATAGACTAATAAGCCGTTTATTTGTTTTGAAGAACAATTAGCGAATCACATTTTGTGATAATGCATATGTATTGATTGCGAAAAACACCAGTTAATGAAATTAAGAGAACATTAATTTCATGTTTACCAATAAAACTATGAATATTAACAAATGTCACATGGTTTTTCGAATAATGCATTATTTGCAATAAAAACAACTTGCAAGCCTAGACTCATGTCTCAAAACGCAAGCAGTAAAGGCAAACAACAATGGTCCTATTAAACTATGCCAGTTATAATTTATAAACTGTGAGGTATCGGAATTTCAAGACAATCAACCATTGGTATACCTGAGTTGCATTGATCATTTTTGAGATTACAAATAATCAATTGAATATAGATTTGACGGAGATACTGCCTCTTAACTAATCGCTAAATCTCGTTAATTCACACACAAGTAGTTTATCGATTTTTACATCAGATCAGTTTACTCCAACATTGAGATTACAAAAGACGACTTCTGATTGACACGATATTTTCAAGTAAACATACAAATATTACAGTTAATCAAAGTAAAGATCAACGAGTATCTAACTGGAAGCAATATTATTGCTGTAATTTATTATATGTGAACGTTTAAGATCTTATTCTGGCCAAAAGTATGCGTAACGCTAAGGTAAAAAGTCAGCAATCATTCAAAAAAGAAAATAGTAGGTCATACTCTCTCTATGCATTCATCATATAACTATCTTACTCACACAGAACTGGTCAGAGTAGAGACTATAAACATGTTAACTGAGACCTCTAGAATAAACTGAATTTGTCTCCCCAATCTATCAATCTCTTTGAGAAATATCTGGTAGCGAAGCTGGCAATCAGGGCATTTGAAGAACATAAATTTAGGTCTTTTAGATTCAGATGTCGCTGTCATATTGTAAGTCGACAAGCAAGTCCACGTATGAAAATTCATCCGGTAATTATGTTATCATTGAAAGTATTTTTACGACGTGGTTATAAAAGAATGTGATAGGTGGACAACTTTGACGAACACCACTCTAAATATTTAGTTCCGATGACAGTCCGCCATAGGTTTTGACTTGCCCATTAGTATTCAAGGAGAGAGTTTGTAAGCTGTTTATGTATTTCTTTGACACACCTTTCAATGACAGACACTGTTAAAGAACCTCATCATCAACAGAGTCGAATGCTGAGTTAAGGTGTAGGAATTCAGATTTTCTTGTCTATCGCTGCCTATCGTTGCCTTTTCCATCTCTACTTTTCTCTATCCACCACTGTTTACGATCATTGTTTTGGCTTTTTGCCAAGCTGTGCTAAAGCCAACTGTGTTATTCGTCATGGTTAGGGCCTGGCGCGATCATTGATCAAGGATCTATGAGATCAGTAGGTGCCATTATTATCCATGTCTTCACGAAGCTTTATTGTTTGTCTTACTAACAGATACCATGGCTGTTTTTATGAGTTTTTAGATATCGTTCCAAGTTACTCTGAGTGAGACTGACTTACATGGCAGCCTAATTGTTAGTGCAGTTGCCCCTGAAATATATTCATAGACTTGCCATCATTAGGCAGACCTCTAAAAGGATTCTTTGTGGTGTCTTCCCTAACGCCAGTAAGGCGCAAACAAATACGCGCTCGCAAAAATCGTTTTGGAGAAGGTCCGATAGCTTGTTTTTAAATTCACCTTTACCTAGTCTGAACTGCAGTCGGTGGGTGCGCAGGCAGTAACTACTTTGAGGCAACGACGAGTAATTCTATCTTTCCGAGTCTCTACTGTCCCGTTCATTCGATCAGTGCATAAGAGAACGTCTAATGGGATCCAGAACTAGTGGATCCCAGAAGTATTTCATCTGCATTTTCTAAGTGAGCGAGCAATTCTCCAGATGGAAGATTCACACCTGAAAATTTAATTAGGAAATTGAACAAGAATGGGGAGAGTGGACATCCCTGACGGACACGACTTGATGTGAATAATTCCAATGACAGTTCACCATAAGCTCTAACTCGACCTGTAGTGTTCAAGTAGTGAGCTCGTATAGGACAGAAAGACAGACAGATACAAATCAGAACTTCGTACATAAGTACATCAGTTCAGGTTGCCATACCACGTCATCACAGAGACGTAACTGTCAGTTCAAATACAAGAGTGATAGCGATGGTAGAATTATTAGCAGTAATGGAGAAGATTAGGGAGCGAAGATATGATTCGAAAAGTATAATTCAGTGAGATGAATTTAGGAGGAGAAAATTAGAGATTATGGGGAATTCAGAAGGTTAGAATTCAAAACACACAAAGATTGGATGCACCTGCGCCATTGCAAACGATTCTGAGCCATATCGTTCAAGGTCTCTAGCCATTAGTGACTTTCGTCTCGCGGACGAGAACCAGATGATAGTCTACATCTACCAACATAACTCAGTTCACTTGTCAGTGACTGCATGGATTTCTGCCATGTTTTGGTCTGGCCGCCCCTAACTTTCTTCCAACCTACTCCTACACCACAAAACATAGCTCGTCGAGGCAGTCGGTGGTTAGTGTAGAATCCTTTTTGAATGTTTTGTTTTTTGGAAAATCCCTCCATGTTTACATAAATTTGTTATGACATGACGGACTCTTTCTGTTGACATTTTTGGTATTTTATTTGATTCCAATTTGAGATTTTATCATTGTATATTGTTATTATTTCTATATTTTGTACTTATATTGAAGTTTTTGTGTTTGCTTCTGATCTGTATATATGTTGTTTAAATTTGATCTTTAATATGGCTACAGCCATATTTGGATTGATCCGGTAGCAGTTGGACTTAACGTCACTTATTCATCCTTGTTGGATACTCTTCGGAGTAATTGTAACCTGGAAGGTGCATCAATTCCAGGTACTGCTTTGTACTTCCATCTTTTTATTAATATCGACCGTTTTCTCCTAGAATTTTCGCGTTTTCTCGACCTTGGACTGGGAGATACGAGTTCAGGTTGCACCTATTGGAACCCATTGGAACTGCCACCGTAGAAAATCGATTTACAGTTAGGCATACGCAGCACATGTCCCAACCACCTCAAATGTTGAAGTTTCAATGCTTCATCTATTGATTTGCCGTCCCTACCTAGAACTCGTTTCCTAACGATAGCATTGCTTACTCGGTCGTCCCATGATGCACAAGCAATGCTTCTTAAACATCTGTGATCAAAGACTTGTAACCTACGAATGTCCTCTACTCTTAACGGCCATGTTTCGCATCCGTATAGTAGGACGTAGCGAACTGCTGCACAGTACACTCGTCCTTTGCTTAGCGAGCGGATATCTCTCCTGCGCCATAAGTGACGCAGGTTGGCAAAAGCCAATCGAGCCTTCTGTATCCGTGCTGAGATTTCGTCAGTCACCAGGCCATCAGTACTGATGAGACTGCCAATGCCACCCAACATTTTACATTTCGAGGGGGAAAATCGCATCCCGAACATGCTTGCATTAGTGCTTAGGGTGGTCAAAAGACTCCGAATTTTGTCAGCGTCTTCACCAAGTAGGACTATATCATCGGTATATTCCAAGTCGATAAGCGGGCCTCCTGCTAGAAGGTCTACTCCTGAAAATTCAGACTAGGATAAGGTTACATCTAGAGGCATGTCTATGACAACAGTAAACAAAAGTGGGAAAAGTGGACATCCCTAGTAGACACCACTTGAAGTAAAGAATTCCGGTGACAGTTCGCCATGAGCTCTCACCCCACCATTTGTTTTACAGTAGAGCTTGTATGAGGGTATTGTACTTCTTTGGTACACCTTTCAATGACAGACACTGCCACAGAACCTCACGACCCACTGAGTCAAATGCCGCTGTTAGGTCCAGGAAAACAACTATTGTAGGCCGCCTAAATGTGTGTCTGTGTTCCAGGACCTGTCGGAGTGTGAAGATGTGGTCTATATAACCACGTCCAGGTCGAAAACCAGCCTACTTTTCTCGAGTCTGCTCTTCACAAGCTCTAGTTAGGCGTCTAACTATTATCGAGGCTCCAATTTAGAAACTGTATTAGTTAGACTTATTCCCCTGTGTTTGTCACAAGAAGACTTCCGTCCTTTCTTATAAATTGGGACAATCAGGGATTACGTTTAGTTCCCAGATTCTGCCTAAGATTTTGGTCAGTCTAACTGTTAAAACTGGACCATCATCCTACAATCTATCAGGGATCAGTCTATCAGGATCCGCGACTCCCCCTCGCTTCAGATTTCCTAACGCTTTCTCAACTTCATAAAGCCTAAGGGGACTTGTGTCGATTTGCCATTCAGGATGACTGGACATCGTGGGTAACGGAACAGTGGATTGAGGCCATTTGAACTGATCCCTGAAGTTTTCTTCCCGTTGATCCAATCTCCTGGATTGAGAATGGGTAATAAGACCATCCTTTTCCGAGATAGTCTCACTCACATTCGGGTTCCTAATACCGGTTTCTTTAATAAGGCGGAAAAATTGTCTACTGTTGCAGATCGCCGCTGCCTTTTCCATCGCTTTTGCTTTCGCCACCCACCACTGTTCACGGTCGTTACGTAGGCTTTTTATAAGTCTGCGCCTAAGCTGACTACGCTCTTCATCATGTTCACAGTCAGGTGGGATGCGTTTTCGAGCATCCATCAGTTCGGTGGATGCGACTGATATCCACTGCTTCATCCTAGCCTTGTGGTTTACCTTGCTAGCAGATACCATTGCTGTTTCCAATGCCTTCTTGATATGATTCCTACCTGCTTCAGGATGGGAATCATTTGCATGGCCGCCTAACTGTTTTTCTAGTTCCTCCTGAAATATTTTCTTAGCTTGATTATCATCAAGTAAAGCCCTAGGAGGCTTCCTTACGGTGTCTTTCCTACGTCCAGCAAGCCTCAGCCAAATACGTTCTCGCACTAGGGCATGATCTGAATCTAAACATGTGCCCCCAGAACGAGCGACAGTCCTCTATCGAACCCCTCCATCGGTGGCTGATGGCGATATGATCTAGTTGTGTCCAACGTTGAGACGACTTCGGGGGTCGCCAGGTCAAAAGGTGTTTTTCCTTAT